ATGAAATAGTGTCAGAGGTGGACACAGGACTGTGCCTCGCAGCATGAATACCACAACAAGCGAGTCAGGCAGCCTTACAGAAAGTCAGATTTTCACCAGTAAAGCAGAAGTTTGGGATAATTTGTCAGGTACTTCCATAACTTTTTGCGACCTCTTAACATTACCACCTGTCAGCAAAACAAAGGAACCCCTAGGCTCCATTCACATTTCTCTTGTACATATTCACTCACAGCTTTAACATGGATACTAAACCAGCTTCAGGGCACTGGCCAGAGCAGAACTATTTCTAGAAGCCCTCTACCTCCTCCACTTCACATGCTAAAGTCATGTCAAGCTTGCAGCAGGGGGCTGGGCCTACCTTGACAGGTCTCAAAAGCCAATTTGGCGGCAGCAGATCCTCACTTTGTAGTGTTTATATCCCTAAGAAGCACCACTATGGCACAAGTGCAATACTCAGACACACTCGAGCAAACACGCCCAAGTGCAAAGGGGAAGCAGGGACTTCCCACACAAACAACAGCAATGAAAATACAATGCCACTCTTATGTGGGGAAGGCAGTTCAGGGGCTTGGCTGAGCACAGCAGTCAGCACAACACCCTATAACATCCAGGTCCAATACAAGTTCTGCCAAGAGACTTCCTACCTCTGCTCAGTGCTTGTGTTAGTTCCCCCACCTCTAAATAGCAGCTACAGATGCTCTGAGATGGATTGAGAAGTTGGAGGGATTCAGCTTCATCCTCACATCAGCCAGTGGAGTGCAACAAAAATAACTTCCAGCAGTACCCAAACTGAGCCCTCCACCTGCCTACAGAAGCATGTGGACAAATAACTGGACTTCCTCACTGTGTCACAAGTTGTGCTTCATGCCATATGTATGGCCAGTTAGTGTTTAAAATCTACTGTTTCTCACCAAAAACAAGCCTTGTGAGCCAGGGGCTGGGATTCGACCTTCAGGTAATGGTTACACTGATGACAGGAAGGAAGACAGCAGCTGCCTGTTCCCCAGGCCTTTACCACACCATCTTCCACCATTCCCAGCATATTATCCACAGGAGGTCACATGCTAGGGTCTAATGTTTCCCATGCCAGCT